TGATTTTTTTATGTAGTCTTCTTTCTCGTCTGAAAGTAAGACTATCTGAGCCTCTTGATTCAAAGTAGCATTGTACCACATTCAGATGTACTGTTGAAAAAGAAATAAGTAATCTGTTCGTGATAAGCGCCCTTTTCCAATAGGTGCTATCTCTTAAATATCAAAAGTTAAAAATATTAAAAGGGTCTAAAAAAGTAAATCGAATCATTGCTGTCTAGTACATTTGCTTGTCTACCAGTGTTTGTCGATCTTTTGAATGGCTTCAAGGATCACTTCCTCTGTTGATGTTTGTTGTTGTTGTTGTTTTTAGATAGGTCCCTCCGTCCGTTACATTCAACACGACCTTCTGTTTTTCAAATGTCCAAAGCACAGTGGTTATCCAATCAAATGGCACCAAGACTGGGTTTTCTGGCCTCACACAAATCAAAGCCTTGTGACTGGTTTCCTCTCCATTGATGACTCCTGTCGCGAAAATGGTAAGAGAGCGAAGATAAGTTTATGTCACTACACATGATAGATGCCTTCTAAGTGAAGAATATGGTCAGGGTATATATGAAGAAGACCGTTTTGCAACTGTTTTTCATACAACACTTCTCCTGGCTTCGCGCAAGCTAAGCTCTCTCGGAGTGGCGTGAAAATTGGAGAGAGCTTGCTTACGTGCTATGCTTCTCCCTGGAGGATTAGAGCATTATCCGGCCTTACTCAGCCATTTTGTCTCGCGAAGGCAGACTCTTTCAACAGGTAGTTGTTTACAAGAGGCAGCTGCTAAAGGTCGCCACTAAAAGAGAAATACTCTTAGCAGTATAATTTTCTTCGAGTTAACTTATATATATATATTTGTTCTATTCAACCGAGTTTATCCGTAGACATGCAGTTTAGCTTAAAGCTAAGCTAGTTTAATATAACCCATCGTGGTAAGACAGAGGACAGTAGGATGGGTGCATTATTGTAGAAAAGAAGCGAAATTTGACCGGATGTGTTAGTTTGAAGTGTTCTCCCATTGCGGCAGAAATTATGAATTGATTTAATATAAATACATTGTGCTTCTAAAGGCTGTCTACAAGTCATACCAGGAAGTCATAAAGATCCGCTTTATAATCATCACGACGGAGACAAGTTTGCCTCAGAAATCAACGACGCGAACTTT